TTCGATAGTAGGTGGTTTTAGTCTTGTTTCCGCTAGCCTTGTTTGATTGGGATTGTGGAGGAGGCTTTTTTAGGCCGTTAGTGGTCTTTGAGGTTTCTTTCCCTCGGCACAGAACTTTGTTAGGTTGTTGCGATGTATGTCTACGGTTTGTCTATATTGTCTTGGATTATTGGCCTAAGCTCTAGCTCATATCTGGAAGGTTGATGAGTCTATGCCTTCGTTTGTATCATGTACCTGCTTGAGGTGGTCTTTTGGCGCTGCTTGATTAGGGGTGACTCTTTCTTGATGAAGAAGATGGTCTCGAGGATGTTTTTCCTCGCCTTGCTGTTTAGTATCCTTTATATCTGATATGAATAATTTCTTCTATTGGCGTTATACATACCAACACCTTGCCTTCGTGTACTGGGTTGTGTATCAATATGAATAATCTTGGATGTTAAGGGTCTACTCTTGCTCGGGATTGGTCTCTTATTCTTGGTTATTCTTTGGCTTTTGTCACTTTTAGTTTGGTTCTACCTTGGTCTCGTGATATGATGAATTTGTCTCGAGTGTGCGTGCAGCTCTTTTTCACCTTTATCGACGTTGTGATTCGAAGCAGTGTTTCTACGTTTGAGGTATTCAATGGAAGGAAGACTCTTGGCTTTGTTGGTGTTCGAGTTGGTTGTTTTAGATTTATAATCTTGGCTTTAGTTTGATGTTTCCGCAGCTATGCGTTGGTTTTTTCGTCTGAGGATCTCGGTATAGATTCTCCTTAGTATTTCATCTTCGTATTCCATCTTTGTAATCCAAAAACGTATTACAACACCGGGGAGGTGCTTAATAAAATGTTTTAGATGAAAAAAAAAAGTTGGTATATTGTAGAATGTAAATGTAAGAAAAGAAAGTATTCAGGATAAAATTGTCATAGATCATTATACCAACAACCGCAAAGAATGAAAATGAAAAAATGTTTTCTGCAAATAAACTCTCTAAGTGGTTAGAGTTTACGATTTTACCTAGATCAACTTTCCAAGTAAAAATCAACCCGTAAATTATTATATTAGTGAAATATGATTGATGTTCAACAATATTTTCATCCAGTTATATACTTCTTTACAATTATTACAGCTTTTTTAAGCAGAATGTAGCTAAAATAACTCAATAGATTAACATAAATTAAAGTTCATAAATACTAAAAAAAAAGACAGAAACGTAAAATGACGGAAAAAACAGAATCGTAAAATAAGATAGTTTGTTCAAGTTAGGG